GAGAGCCGGGGGCCCCCCGGGGCCAGCGTTCGGGGGCTGCCCCAAGTCTGAGTAGTTGTTCCGGGGAGGGGAGCTCCGGCGGCCCAGATACTGGAGGGCCGGGGCCGGGGGCTCAGGGTCATTGCTGAACTCTGGCGGCGGTGGGATGACCTCGAAGTTGAACTCCTCCTCCTCCTCCTCTCTCTTGTACGAAGGAGAAGGTGGAGAGGAGAAGGACTTGGGCAGCGGGTGGCCCTGGGGGAGGTTGGAGGTAGCAGCTCTTTCCCAGGCCACAGGGGCCTGGGGCTCCGGCTTTGTCCAGTTGTGCCTGCGGCTCGGCTCTGTGCCCTCTGCGTCTCTTCCCGGCCGCGTCCCCCACTTATTGGGTATTTCGGTCGTCAGCGGGGAGTCCTCAGCTTCCTTGGGTAACTTGGGCACCACAGTGAAGGAGTTGGGCCTGCCTTGGCTGTGGAAGATGCTGTCAGAGCTGACCTCGGCTTGGTGGCTGTGGTCACGGAGACTTCCTGGCAGAGAGGACCGACCCAGGGCAGCCCCTCCAGGTCTCCCCTTCTGCGCCCTCTGCCTGGCCGCCAGGAGCAGGGCCATCGGTGAGCCCCGCTCCACCACCTCCCCAGTCACCGGGTGCCTGAGGAGTTCATCAGTGGGCTGGGCTGAGGCAGAGGGCTTGGCTGGCAGCCCTGGGGGCTCCTTCACCTCTGCGGGCTCCCCTGGCCCTGCAGCCCCTCCTCTGGCCAGGGTGGGCATCACCACAGCAACCTCACGGCTGAGGCTGCTCTGGTGGCAGTGGGGCTTGTAGAGACATGGCACCTCTCCTCCACCAGGAGATGTCTTTGGTGGGAGGGCTGGAGATGAGTGGGCTCCCTGTGTGGGCAGCCTAGTGGCCTCTGAGGGGGACCCCTCTCCCCTTGGCTGGGAGGGAGTGGAAACTTCTTGAGATGCTGGCTTTGCTGGCTGCCCACCTGGCCCTGAGTCTTTCTCTGCCATCAGTTGGGATGTGGTGGTGGGCAGAGTTGTGGCTGTAGATGATATGGCCAGGCCAGATGTGGCCTTGGGTGGTGTGGCTGGCCCAGCTGTGGCCTTGAGTAGTGTGGTTGGCCCAGGTGTGGCCTCGGGTGGTGTGGCTGGCCCAGCTGTGG